GAACTTGGAGCAAGTATTCCTAAGGTGTTACGGACATAATTAATATAATAATATACCAAACTTTTTAACCCAATCATATTTCCCAAACAAAATCACATATTGACACAGCTGAACAAATAAAAATGTGATTATGTCTATAAACTACATACTAAAAAAAAATTTAGAGACACTCAATAAAGAAAGTAAGAAAGAAAGAAAGCATGCTCTTAATAAATATCTGATTCTCCCAATTGTAAAAGCCCCCACAGCATCCAACCGCACATTCATAGAAACAACATTATATTCTGACACTAGAAACCAATAAATTCGGAAAATTTCACGGTAATGTTTACAAATTAACCTTTTAAAAATACGAGTGAATTTTTATTTCTGTCGTTGCCGAAAATTTTTTTTCATGCGTGTAATACTAGTACATGTATCTTGGACGCTTGGATGCTATCTTCACCTTTGACCACATTGTTGGAAGCAGCGTCGGCCATTTTCATTCTGTCTTTCGAGCTGTTTTTTCCGACAAATTTCAACCGTTTTAACATTTTACGGCCTCAGAAACTCATATAACGACGAAAACAAGTTGTAGTTTTTATTTTCATGCGTAACATTTCTTCTGGGGATGGATTATTTTTCCGCCGAGCCGCCGAAAACTTAGCGTCGCATGCGGTCGGTCGGGCGGCCGGCAGGATTTTGTATCGGCGCGCTTTGCATGTAAACAAGGACAGTTGGAGTTGTTTACATGAAAATTGTGTTGTGAAACGCCAGCGAGGTGTCTGATTTTCTACCAATGAGAACGTTTTCTTTGTGGCGTCATGGCGAGATCGACAATTCATCGACAATTCACAAGATTGTGCCGACAATGGGGCCCGATCCATGCGATTAGCGGCTCGATCCACGCAAATTATAGGTGGCGCGCTGCGCCACCTGAGTTTAGGAATAAGTGGCGCCAAGCAAAATCGGATGGCGCCGCGCCAGTGCGCCACCGGGTATTTCGAGCTCTGCTTATGTCATCATTGCAGAAGGATTCTAATATTTTTTCTAAGAAGTTCATACTGGATGAATTCTTTCATTTCTTTAATCCTACAAAATTCTAAGAAGGGATATTTCTGAATAGCCTGCGTACCATCCTGGTTAGTTTACGTCCGCTCCCACAGTCGCTACCACCAACCAATACTTTGCGAATTTCTTTAGTTTTAGGCCACACCAATTTAATTTCTTAGTTAACAGATTCGCCCGCTTCATTTTTTTCTGATTTGCAAATAAAAATAAAAATTCAGAATCAACTGCAAAATGCTCATATTTTGCCCTGAACAGTTAAAAAAAGGGTCCTTTTCATCCTAGTTGTTACAATTATTCCATCTGTCAATGCAATGGAATCATTAAAAGTTCAAAATTCATTGTTTAAATTTTGAACCAGCCTGACTCCATGGCTCCTATCGTACCATTTTGGGCCATAATAGGATGCCTAGGCCTGTTTTTATTTTTATTTTTTAACCAAGAAATTAAATTGGTGTGGCCTTAGCATCTGATTTTTTGTAGCAAATGAATACTTCTTAACTTAAAACAATGAATAAGCAACACTTTTAAATTTAATACAGTTTTTATGTCCACAGTCTGTATTTGCTACCTATTAAGTGATAAACTGACTGAACTGAACCTATTATCAAACCAACCAATCATGAATGCTTGTGTCAACATGATTTCCTTGTCAAAGGTATCACCTCAACGTTCCTACCTTGGCTGCAATCTGGTAAGGTGGTATCACATCAATGTTTAGCTCCTGGAACAGTTGTCGACACTGCATGGTGATGAAGTCCCCTGCCAGAGGAGACTTCACTATGGCTGGGGGGTAAAGAAAAATATGTTAATACCATAATCACACAATTAATTTCTAACACTTGAAGCTAGAAATTGAAGCAAGAATAACTTTGTTATCTTATTTTCAGAGAAGGGTTGAGATAAATACATTAATATCATAATCATACAATCTATTTATTATTACCAACACTTGAGGCTAGAACTTAAAGCAAGGACAACTTTGCTACTAGTATCTTATTTTCAAAAATAGCTGGCCATGGCCAGGTAAAAGAAGTGAACTATGCTCAGATTGCTGGCCCAAATTCCTACAAATGTAATTCATACCTGCTAAAAACTTTAACTTGAAACTTAATCAAACCTTCTATGGATAGAACAATTCATGCCCGAAATTATTAAAACAAAAACATGTAAAAATATCACATAAATTGTCATCTACATGTAGGATAATAAGAACAATAAATGTACATAGAAATCATTCTAGAGTGAAAAGTATCCAGTTTGGTTGAAAAACCATAACAAACATACCTTGCTGCAAGACATACCCATCATGTACAGGTACTGCAGTGGTGGAGGTGGCACCGCTGTCTACAACAATACCTGTGGAGCGCCCATTGGCAAAACTTGGCTGTGGTTAAGGATTGAAACCAGTATTGTGGAAATTAGTGACAATGTATCAATTGATTCCATCTTTATTGTTATCAACATTTAAAACTCTCTTGGCCTTCAGTTCCTGAAAAGATCATTATTTATTTTATTTTATTTTCATTTATTTTTCGAGGATTGGGCAAAAGGTTATGAAACTTATGTCAGCCCTCTCCTCACACATAAAAGGAAACAATAAAATGAAGTAATAATAAGAAGAAGAGGAAGAAAGGACAAAAGTACATAATGAGCTGGTGTACAAATCAAAATCAATCAACTCAATCAAACAAAACGTCCTGTCTGCAAAATAAAGTTGAAAACCACATCGAATATTTTACAGTTATTGACAAAAAAACGTCCTGTCTGCAAAATAAAGTTGAAAACCACATCGAATATTTTACAGTTAATGACAAATGACATTGAGGGGTTACCCCTGAGAATGGTTGAACATAGGATCATTCTAAGACATGCTGCATTGCTAGAGAGCAGGATGACTAGTTATTGACTACAGTTGATGGTTTTCCTTCATGTTAAAGGATACGCTGAGAGTACAGCTGTTTTGGACAGGAAGAAAGCCGGGATGTTGTAGTGTTCAAACATGAGCTCAGTCAGTCTCTCCCTCTTCCCTCGCACATTCCACTGTAAATCAACAACATGTCAATCAATCAACGGCCTTGGTCATTCTTTCCAGAGGTGAAGATGGGAGGTCTAGTTGAGAGGCTTTTGGGTGGTTACTTAACATAGGTAATAGTCTTCATCTAGCAGTGGTACTAGTACATAATATACTAGTACATGTACATAATTGAGTTGTTTCAGATGTAATCTACTAATGCAGTGTGCAAAATACATGGTTGCCCAGTTGCCCCGGGCAACCAAATTTTACTTGGGGCAACCTATTTTTGAACCTAGGTAGACCAGTGTACGTATGTGCTACCTGAATTTTAAGAATGCTCCCCCCCCCAATCATTCCCACTTGGCTTGCACCACTGTATCTGGCAGATGCTTTTTTCATTTTAGGTATTAATGGCTATTACTAGTATCAGTAACTAAAGGCTGTTAGTAACTAAAGGCTGTTAGAAATAGTGTCAAAGGCTTATGTATGTAACATTAATTAATTTGAGAAAAGTAGTAACTTATAGATGGGGCAACCTAAAATTCCGATGGGCAACCTAATTTTTGCCATAGGTTGCCCACTGGGCAACCTGGTTTAAAAAAGTATTTTGTACACTGTAACACCAACATCATTTCAATCTCTTCCAAAATTGCTCCTTCCATAACTTTATTATCCTAAAAGATGCCAAGTCACTTAGGTTCTAGTCAAAGAAAAATTTCCAGGTTTATATATCCAACAATCTTTTAACTTTATAAATCTTAAAACAAATCATGCCCTGATCTATCACTTCCAGATAAGACTATATCTGTATCGATATAGCCGGTATAACCGTCCTTCGGCGTAACACACCAGCTTCACAGGCACGCGGCGCGGCGGCAGCTAGCTATATCACACCAAACAACTTGTTACACTCAATCTTTGCACATTTGATTGCAAGAGTTGTTTAAAGCTTTCTAGTGATGATGCCCCATGCAACTGTGCTTGGTGGCAACGAGTTCCAGTCTACGATAGTTCTGGGGAAATACAAGTTTTTGAATACCTCAATTCTTGGTTGATAACTCTGATATTTGAAGGCATGACTGTTTCTTGTTCTTTTCTGGGCTGGTATCAGATACTTAGTGGTTGGTACATCCACCAGTTTGATGACTACTAGTATATGATGTTATACATAGAATAGTGTAACTTATAGACTGTTAAGCTGCCCATGTTAATCTTGTTTTGTACTCACAGGTGCTTCAGACATGAGTACAGGGTGAAGTTCAGGTTCAGAGTGGATGTGTTTCTTGTAGATGTGGTCCAGGATCATCTGGAACAAGTCCCAGTCTTCAACTGGGGAAACAAGTGGAAACATGCTGGTTAGAAATGCAAAAAGTACAATGAGAATTCTTCTATGAATATATGTAGCTAACAAGCCTAAAAATGCCTAAAACAAGCTTGATTTTTTTGTTTACATTAGTTAGTTAAAGTCCTTCGGAGTTCCAGCACAAAGTGGTGCATTTGGCAGTGCCCATTTCTGGTTCAGTAGCCCTTGGGCTGCACAGTAACTTGCAATCACTTAACAGCATGGAGCTAGTTCACTGGTAGTGGTTTGTGTTTCAATACCATACTCTTTCCCAAATGTTAAGTTAAGTGCTAAGCAGAGTACCATTTGTTTATAAGTCTTTGGTATGATTTGGTCAGGGATCAAACTCACAACCTACCAAATTCAAGGCAAACACTCTACCCATTTGACCATTGTACCAGATAAGAATAGGAGATAAAGTTACATGTACAAATGTATTTTTCTGTGGTAAACAAAATGTTGAGCCTACTCATGCCATCCTTGAGAGGAGTGGTCATCTCCATGTTCTCCCGTGCGACAAACAGTGAGTTGTAGTCGATGTAAACCTTCTTCTCTGTCCCCTGAGGCTTGTCTCCGCTCGAGCCTGTGTCCATCGCCTCTGTCCCTTCCACCACTCCAACATGGGTGGGGAACTCAACCTTTGTAGGAATGAAGAAAGGAAAGAATCTGAAATTTGTTGTTATTTTTGTTGTCCTTGTTGAACGTCTAATATCTCACTAGACGTGGTCTGTTGGTGCTGGCTTGCACTTGGTTCAGCCCCGACTCGGGGCCCCCGAGTCAATTTGACTCTCTAACGTTAGGTATTTAACTCTTGGTGCCTTGTGCTTGGGTGAAGCTGAAAGTATCTCTATGAAGAGAAGAACTTCAAGAACAGATGTCATATATAAGTTATGAGTGCATATAATACGTAGCATTTGTCTGGTCATTCAGCATAATATAGCCAGCTGTTGCTGCACCCCATGGCTGCAAAGCTGGTGTGTTTGTTACTAGAACACCAAAGGGTGGCTAATTTGTGGTCAAAGCTGCAGTTCAAAATGGAGCTGCGAGGTGGCCTAGAATCTATTTTTTGGACAAGGTTTGTGGAATGGTAATATCACGAAACTGAACTTTTTAACTTGCTACAAATAATTAAATACAAGATGTAACCAGAGCAAAGAAATTTTATGATGATCATACAGTTAACGTTACAAATAACACTTGTTAGTAAGTGCAAGGTGGTTATTAAGTGCAAGGTGGCTTGGTAACTGGTAATACACTTACTTTTGGAGAGTCTTCCCCGGCATATCCAGCTCTCGTGGTGTAAGCACCAAAGTCAAACACAAGAGCGCCTACTTCATCTGTGGAGTCAAGAAAAACTCACGTTTCCAAAGTACAGTGGGGAGGGGGGCGCCAAAATGGCAACCAGACCGCTTTTGCGATCGCCATCGAAAGAGTTCAAACATAACGCAAATTGACTTACTGAATAATCATCTATAGCTTGCAAATGACCTTACCTCCTCCGTAAACGCCTCCGCTCATTGTTGATGTTGGAAAATAGAGTACAAGGACAAATGTTTGTCAACAAAACTCGCACAACACAACAAAGACGGAGCTGGAACCGCACGCTTCAGATGACCCCGCGTTACCCGTCAGCCTTCGGGGCAACCTGATTAACAAAAGGTCACAGATATTGTCGCTGTTTGTCCGCTTGTCGAACAAATGCAATAGATATCTAAGATGTCGTTATTAAACCTTTAGAATCCACGATTTAACAGACTGAACAGAACTGTGACGTTTTGAATACTGTGTTTTTGGTTTCCATTTTCTTTAATTTCCTTTTTAGCTGTGAAATTTGACCTTTTGTTTTTACCAAGTTAACCCGGAAGTGAGGTAAAAGGTCATATGTTACAAAAGATCACAAAACAGTGCGGGCATGCCTGGGCAAAGTACTGGTTAAAACGTATATAAATGCATCGCTACACCTCACATTAAGGACGATGTTCACGAAAGCAGCATTCCGAGGAGGCTGGACGATCTTTGGGTCCAGGAAATGTCTGGATAAAGGTCAGTACAGAGAAAAGTTTGATGTTTTCAAGCAGGTTTTTCTTTGATGAGCACATGGTATTCTTTCGAAGGTTACAGTTCTACGGAAGTGCGGCATACTTGAGTATAGTTTATACTAGTACTATACTCTCCAGACCATTGTTTGCAGTCTAGAAGCTGTAGTATATAACACTGCAAGTAAAAGAAGCCTGTGCGCTAGGTACGCTACAGTTTGTATAAGAATGTTTTATCTTTTCAATTAGCTGATTATCACTATGCAATATTGATTGATTGGTAAAATATATCAATACACAGTGGAATAGTAATCTTAACACTTTTTTTGCAAATGTATAACGTTATTAAAAATCACTGGAATGTTTTACCAATGATGATCTGTTGACTGTCACATGTTAATATGTTTCAGTGCGGAGACAGGTCACATGGAAGATGACTGCACTCCATCCATCCAGGTCTATAACGGTTAGTCTCAACTAGATTCTCTCTTAAAGGTCAGCTAGGGCTTAGGTATCACTTGAAAGGGTCAGATCGAAACTACAAATGTATATTGTGTGTGATTGATTTTCATTGATATATATTTGTACCAATATGAATTGAAAAAATGATGTCAAGAATGATATTAAGCATTTTTCTCACACTAAAATAAGAGCTACATGTGTTAAAATGTTTGCATCTCAAAAATGGTAAATGTACCACCATATGTGTAAGTTAACACCACAAACTATGTATGTATCATTTTGCCATATGTTGTACCCGCTACATCTGTTGCGCAATAAAGTTATTCTTCTTCTATCTTTTGTGCCTTATACCACAGGTTGCAATAGAGGGTAACATTGGCAGTGGGAAGACAACTTTCTTGGACCATTTTTCCAAGACCAAAGGAATTGAGGTGAGAAACAGTTTTTAGACTGCATGAAAGAAAGACTGACAATATTTTAATCCAGTCTGATTGAAGCCCACCATTATAAAAGTCAAGAGTTTTGACCTTTTGAAAATTGTGATTATACTTAGACACATTTTCACCATCTTTACCATACATGTGTAGGTAATACAGGAACCAGTGGACATGTGGAGAAATGTCAGAGGACACAATACACTGGTGAGTACAGGAATTATATTATTTACACTTTATTATTCATACTGGTAATCACAACCAGTTTATGCTTCCTTGTCTTTATTGACCCTTAGGCCACACCAATTTAATTTGTTGTTTCTCGGATTTTTCAGAAAAAGTCAGGAGCGCCAGGGCAAAAAAAAACACAAAAAACAGGCCAAGGCACACCATGATAGCCAGAAATGTTACAATATGAGCCATGAAGTGAACATACCAGGCTGGTATAATTGAAATAATATATTTTGAACTTTTATTGAAACAAAATTGCATTGTTACATTGAAAAACTTAAGAACTAGGAAGAAAAGGACTTGTTTCAACCATTGGGGACAAAATGTGTCTTTAATTGAGCATTTTGCAGTTAATTTAGAACCCCCCCCAATTTTTTTTAACTAAAAAATGGACAGGACGATCCGAGAAGCAACAAATTAAACTGGTGTGGCCTTACTTACTCAAAGTTACAGATACATACAGTATGTAGCTATACAAGGGATTTTGACTACACCAGTGAGTGAGATAGGATATGTAACTTAACTGTTGTGTCAGTGGTTCATGTTGTTTTTTCTCCCTCAGGCTCTGATGTACTCAGACCCAAAGAGATGGAGTTTTGCATTCCAATCCTATGTGCAGCTGACCATGTTAGACATCCACACAAGAAAACAGGCAGGTCTAATAAAACTTAGCCTGTACCAGGCATCAGAAGTGGCTGGAAAGAGTAGAAATTGGCCAAATAGGCAGATAACATTTCAGGGGGAGTTGGTCCGCTAAAAGAGTACAGTTTGCCGCTCCCCAAGTGAGCTTTAGCAGACCAACTCCCCTTGCATGTTATCTGACTACTAGTATATTTTTTTTACATCATGGGATCATTTCCTGTCATAATGCATATGATCACTAAAAAATTTCCAATTTCTAACATTTTTGAATATATAGTCACATTGTCATGTTGTCTACTTTCCTTCAGAAATCCCTCATCAGAATGATGGAACGTTCCATCTACAGTGCAAAGTACTGCTTTGTGGAGAACATGCATGAAAGGTGAGCACAGCAAGCTTTGTAGTCCTTAGGCCAGACCAATTTAATTTGTTGGTTCTCGGATTCGCCTCTTCGTTTTTTTCTGATTTGCAAAAAAAAAAAAAATTTGATTCTGGTCCTGAATCAACTGAAAAATGCTCATGTTTTGCCCCCCAACAGTTGAGGAAAGTCCTTTTCATCCTAGTTGTTACAGTTTTCCCATCTATCATTGCAGTGGTTTGATTAAAAGTTCAAAATTCAATGTTTAAATTTTAACCCAGCCTTTTGTGTTGACTTCATGGCTCATTTTGTAGAAATTAAGCGTATAATAGGATGCCTAGACCTGTTTTTATTTTTATTTTTTTTCGCCCTGTCGCTTCATATTTTTTCTGAAAAAATCCGAGAACCAACAAATTAAATTGGTGTGGCCTTAGAACAAATAAATAATGCATCTAAACCTGAAATAAAGTGCACCTTTATACTGCATTAGTAAAGTTTTCAGTAAAATATGGACGACATAAAATGTTCTCTACACTCAGTCACAGTTTCAGGTTTACTTAGATCTTTAATAATAGAACAATGAATAATTCGTCTGTCACACCTGGAGGAAAGTTTG